AGAAATTTTGGAAGCAAAATTTTAGGAACTGTGGTACTGATGGAAACCTCACCCTTCTTCCTCCATAGCTGATCAGGAGAGACCCATAGGAAACTTAGAACTTAACAACATGGGAGATCTTTGTGGAAAAGTGATGTTGAAAGCATGGTTGAGAGGACAGTGAAGAGCACCAAAAAAGATCTCCTCAAACTAAAGAGGAACACAACAAATGCAACATAGTGGAGGCAAAAGTAAAATGATGCACTGCAGTGTGTTTGAGTTGATCACATCTGACTCAGAAAGAAGTGCTGTGGATAACTCAATAAAATGTGGCTGAGTTCCCAGGTCATGATAATTCCTGGCCTGCTGAAATAAGGTTGGTTCAGTAAATTCGGTTGGTTGGGTTTGGACTAAGGCACACTAAGGCAGAAAGAGTAGTTGGAAATGCGTAAATAAACACTGTGTTAAACCAAAATCAAGCAAAATAAATTGTTGGCTTAGTGTAATGTGTGAACCCAGTCAAAAGAGAGACTTCTGAAGGAGACTTTGTGAAGTCTGGATTTGCACCATGTTCCAAGATAAAGTAAACTGCCTTGACTGCTCTTTTTGAGCCAAAAAGAACATAGAGAAATAAAGTTTTGGAATGTGGAGTTCCAAAACTTTCAATAGAAGAGAATATATGTTATAACCTGTGAGGTCCTTGGTGCTCTCTGAGCTTGGTTGTTTGCTTGCAGATGTTTCATCATCTGACTAGGTAACTTCACTGTGATCATCAACATCAGCATCAGCATGATGTTACCTAGTCCAGCCATGACACCTCTGCAAGCAAACAACCAAGCTCAGAGACCACCAAGGACCTCACAGGTGAACATATATTCTCTTCTATTGAAAGTTGAGGAAGCAAGCACTCATCTCTTACCTTGCAGCAGCTGTTCCTGGTATCACTTCATAAACATAGACACCAGACCTCAGGTTGGGAAAATCTCGATTATGCCGTCTCAGCTCACGGATGAGACTAGGAGGGAGAGAATAACAGCTCCAGCAGCAGCAGCTCCAAACTCTCTTAAGATATCTCAGGTTATGCCACTAGGAAGTTCTTCCAGACATATATTAGGTTACAATTCCCACCCTAGTTAGTGACGTCAAAGTTGAGCACACCTGGAAGGTGCTAGGTGGGGGAAGGCCTACAGATCAAATAACAGGTGTGACATCCTTCTAACTTCCTCAGAAGTTAACAAGAAGTGATTTGAGTGGCCGTTTTCAAACCAACAGATAAAAAACAATATGGCCACAACTGTTGAATGTGAAATGAAATCTCTACCACCAGGAGAATAGAACAGAATAGAATAGAATAGAATAGAATAGAATAGAATAGAATAGAATAGAATAGAATAGAATAGAATAGAATAGAACTGGAAGGGACCTTGGAGGTCTTCTAGTCCAGCCACCTGCTCAAGCAGGAGATCCTATACCATTTCAGACAAGGGACTGTCTAGTCCAGTGATGGCGAACCTTTTAGAGACCGAGTGCCCAAACTGCAACCCAAAATCCACTTATGCATTGTCGAGTGCCGGGTGGGTGTGGCCCATTGGGTGGGCGTGCCCCATTGGGTGGGTGTGGCCCATTGGGTGGGTGTGGCTGCAGTGGTAATAGGAGACTGGGTGGGACTAAAAAGTTCAATCAATCAATTTCAATTTTGCAAGATATATTTTTTTCCTGCGAGAAGTTGAAATTGACTGATTGAACCTTTTTTTTTTTTGGCACACGGTGGCGGAGGTCTAAAGCGAAAAGGTTTTATAAAACCCAGCTGAAGGCCTAGGACTGGGCTGACGGCGTGGGTGCCCACAGAAAGGGCTCTGAGTGCCGCCTCTGGCACCCGTGCCATAGGTTCGCCACCACTGGTCTAGTCTCTTCTTAAAAACCTCCAGTGATGGAACACCCATGATTTATGAAGGCAAGCTGTTCCACTAGTTAATTATCCTCACTGTCAGGAAGATTAAGATGACCCCAACCCTCTTAGCCTTTTGCAAGTTATTGAATGCCTGGCTGTTCCCTCAGACACTTGAGTCAGGGGAGATGAACTCTGCTACTATGAATGGTTGGTAGTTAGAATTCATTCTTAGATGTTTCAGGGGTTTGTTTGTTTTTAATCTTGTAAGTCCCTTGTGTGAGATGACCAGAGAGAGAGAAGGAGAGAGAGGCAGATAGAGACAGACACAGAGGGAGATATGACAGAAAGATAACAGATATGACAGATGAGATAGATAGAAGATAGATAGATAAATAGATAGATAAATAGATAGATAGACAGATGATAGAGAGATTTAGATATACCAGAAGAGATGACAGATGATAGAGGTGATAGATAGATAAAGATAGATAGATAGATAGATAGATAGATAGATAGATAGATAGATAGATAGATAGATAGAGACAGATGATAGAGAGATTTAGATATACCAGAAGAGATGACAGATGATAGAGGTGATANGGGTAGACAGACAGACAGACAGACAGACAGACAGACAGACAGATGATAGAGAGATTTAGATATGCCAGAAAAGAGATGACAGGTGATAAATAGAGATAGATGAGAGAGAGGGAGAGGGAGAGGGAGGGGGGGGGAGAGAAAGATGGATAATAGAGCTTATGTGAGGACAAGAAGGGCAGAGGAATGACTTACTTGAAAGAAAGGGGGACCATGCGGAGTCCCAGATACTTCTTCTTGGGAGTGGTTCTGTCTAGAGAGAAGCAGGAAGTTAAAAGCATACTCCGAAGGCCAAATTAAAAAAAGATGAAAAGTTAAGGGTTAGTTAACAAATGGGTAGAATGTTCATCCACGGTGAGGTCACTGCCCTTCATTGTACTGGCTGTGTCCAAGAGTCACTTGAGCAATTTCCTGAGATACTACCTTTCACCTGTCGGTTGTGAGTTTCTTCCAGAAAGTGGCGGATCCGGTCGGAGGGGATGGCAAAAGAGATGCCAGCTGTGACCTTCAGAGTATTCATTCCAATGACTTCACCATCCTGTGGAGAGGAGCAGGTGAAGGTGAAAAGAAAGACCCAAGCCAAGTTTACATATCCTGTAAATAAATAGTCCATAATCCACAGTCCCGGACAAGACCAAACAAAAAAAAAGACCTCCGGCATGATTACATGTCTCCCAATTTATATTTTATCACTCATTCTGGTTTAAGCATTCACTGACGGATTCACACATTCTGAGTTATACTCTTGCTTGCTTAGTTTGAGGGGGGTATTTTTATTGTTGTTGTGTGAATCCAAATAATTGTGACTTACACGCCATGAACAAAATGTAATAAGTCCACAACGAAGGGGAAGATTGTTGGGGTTTAGAAAAGACAATGGAAAAAATCAACCGTCCTTACCAAGTTCACCAATGGCCCTCCTGAATTTCCATACTGTGGATGAGAAAAGAAGGAAGGAAGGGATTGTATCATGGAAAACTATTTCTTCCAAAAGCCCCAAAGTCCAACTCAATCATTCTATGTCCTGTGTTCTGGAGGCTAAACTGTGCATTGAACGATTGAAGGACTTAGGTATGTCTAGTGCAGGGGTAGGCCACCTTGGCTTTTTTATGACTCGTGGACTTCAACTCCCAGAATTCATGAGCCAGCCATGCTGAGGGGACAGGGAGAGGTTTCCAAGCTGAGCCATTCTAGCTCAGGAATTCTGGGAGTTGAAGTCCACGAGTCATGAAGGGGCCAAAGTTTCCCTCATGCTGGCTCAGGAATTCTGGGAGTTGAAGTCCACGAGTCATAAAAGAGCCAAGGTTGCCTACCCCTGGTCTAGTGAGTCTAACCAAAAGAAGAATTAGGGGTATAACAGCCGCCTTCCAATGTTTGAGGGGCTGGCACAGAGAAGAGAGAGTCGATTTATTCTCCAAAACTCCTGAGGGCAGGACAAGAAGTAACAGATGAAAGATTATCAAAGAGAGATCCATCTGGAACTAAGGAGGAATTTCCTGACAGTGAGAATGATCAGTCAGTAGAACTGCTTGCCTCCAGATGTTGCGGGTGCTCCAACACTGGAGCTTGTCAAGAAGAGATTGGATAAACATTTGTCCTGAACGTTGTAGGATCTCCTGCTTGAGCAGGGGTTGAACTAGAAGACCTTCAAAGCCCCTTCCAACCCTATCATTCTATAGGTTCTATTTCTGCTGCCAGGTATTGTCTAGGTATCTTTAAGATAAAAGAAGAACTCTACTGAATGGAACAAGGGTTTCTCTCTGGGATATGCAACCTTTAGGATGCTTCCAAATTTCTGAGGCAGGAGTGGGATGCTCTGGAATCTACCAATTGAAGTTCAAATCCACATACGTTTCAATATATAAATGGGAGGTTCACAAGTCCTTTAG